TTGCTGCGTCTCCGGCTCCTGTATATCTCTTACCTGCAAACATGGTGACAGTATGCGCGATCACTGCACGCAAGAGTTCCATGGCCCGCGTTGCCCACTTCAGAGATTTTTGGCGTTGCAGGTCGAGTGCTGTCATTAAAGGTTTGCCAAGCATATCAGCATCCCGCATATCCGCTGAGACGATGTCGATGTTCCTTTCGCTCTCTCTGCATCTCTTGATTGCCTCACCTTTGAGAAATGTTTTGCCCAAGTTTTTGCCCCCCAACACCAACACCAATCCGGGTTCTTGCATTGACACCACCAAAGCCTGTATCGCAGCATCTCTGTCAACAATTTTGCTGGATTTCATGTGACTTTCTGCAAGCGCAACAATGCTCTCCATATGTGTCTGGCAATCAGTCTTGCTGCTCCTACTTGCCGCTTTCTGCACGGCTGCCCAAAACCCCTTTCCTTCGCCCACGTCAACACGAGGAGGTAGACCACGTAGCTTCACTGAACGCGATGGATGTCTTGTTGTCCCTGTTGTCAAAAAGCATGCAATCACATTTGCCCAAATCACACACGCGAGTGCACCACGCCATTTGCGTGAGCCGGACATTTCATAAAGCGTAGTCAAGAGTATTCAATTAACTTTGAAAAGTTCATCAAATGGCAACAAATCATTCTGTTTTTGAATAGTTGACCTGTCTTTCCGAGGCTGCAGTAAAGGTTGACCATGCAGAATCTGTGAGCATCTTTACACATCTCTGTGCATGTACCACTGATAGTGTGAACACTAAGTTCCTCCACTAGAATGAGGTTTAAAGAGAAGCAACTTCCAGGGCTTCCTGTGCAAGTGTGCCCGAAAAACAATGAACATTGTAATGTCCAAAGTTTGCAGTTGTCCTCGGAGAAATTCCTTCAGTTGCATAAAGAGAAAGGACGACACAGGCGGAAATATAAAGAGTTTGTAGAACCATATGGAAAACATGCTTGGCTCGGTGGGAAAATCAGTTACCGACTTTGCACCGATTTCAAGGAAATCCGTCACTGATTTGGGGAAATCTGTCACCGATTTTGGGGAAATCTGTCACCGATTTTGGGGAAATACCTCACCGATTTTGGAGAAATCCGTATCGACTTTGGAAAATCTGCCACCGACTTGGGGAAAATCTGCCACCGATTTTAAGGAAATCTGTCCCAGAGTTTGGGGACTTCTGTCACCGACTTCGGGGAAATCCGCCACCAACTTTGGGGAAATTCGTCACTGACTTTGGGGAAGTCTGTCACCAACTTTGGGGAAACCAGCCACCGACTTTTTTTTGGCAACACCCAGTCAAAAAAATAAAACCAAACACAAGAGACTTGAGCTTTGTCCCAAGCCAATCCAAAACGGAGCCTGTCTTTCCCAAACACGGCGACGGCTTTCCTCAGTCGGTGGCTGATTTTCCCAAAAGCGGAGCCAGATTTTCCCAAAGTCGGTGACGAATTTCCCCAAAGTCGGTGGCAAATTTCCCCGAAGTCGGTGGCGGATTTCCCGAAGTCGGTGACAGATTTCCTCAAAATCGGTGACAGATTTCCCCAAAATCGGTGACGGATTTCCCCAAAATCGGTGACAGATTTCCCCAAAATCGGTGACAGATTTCCTCAAAATCGGTGTCAGATTTCCCCAAAATCGGTGACTGATTTCCCCAAAGCCGGTGACGGATTTCATTTCCCCAAAAACCGTTGCTGGTTTTCCTCAAAAACCGAACCAGTTTATTGCCCAAAACCGGAGCCAGATTTTGTTTGCTCGAACAAGGCCAGTCTTTCCCTAAAACGTATTTTCTGTTGTTGCTTCAATTTGGGATAAGCACACACAGTCCAAAACGATAAGAACACCAGAAAAAAGAACTGTATTCCAAAAACTTTCTCCAGATGTTCCTTCGATTTTCCATCTAAAACTATCTTCCCTCTTGTCATTTCACACTGGCAAGAAGTCAAAACGACAACGGCGCTTGCGTGCACAAAGCCATCCGTCAAACCAACCACCACTTCCATGCGTTTTTGCCACTCAATTTTCCACGTTTATTGTCACGTTTGGGTGAAACTCCGCGCTGAACAGCTCTGTGGCTCCTGTACCAGCCGCTCACCGATCGTTTGTGGCAAGTTGCCTCTTCAACTCATCTTTTCCCAGTTTAATACGCCGCCTTTGTATCTTTATATCAAAGTGCAAAGTTTGCAACAACAAAAAAAGATTACGCCTCTTACAATGGAGAAGACGCAAATGCACGAAGCAAAAGAAAGTCGCAATTTGATACATGGAACATGAAACCGTCCAATGCTCCTCATAGTCGGGTCAGAAAGAGCCTCACAAAGCAAAAATGTTTCAAGAAGCAGCATTTAGAAATAGAAACTGTGCCACACTGCGCACACGTTGATCACAAACAAGCCAGCCTCTATGGAATGAGGTAACCATAGCAGTCCAACCTGGAGTGATTGGTTGACCACGCACTTCAACAAGGCGTTTGTAACAAGTATATTCAGAGTATTAACATGTATTTACTGAGGGGAGGACTTGGAGACACCGCGTTTAATTGAAGCTTCTTCGTCTTCTTTGCTCCAGTTGCCATCCTGCGGAGAAGGCATTCAAACTAAAAAAGAGCTGACTAAACACGAACTGGTAGGTCATTGAAGCTACTGCAACTAGCAAAACGAGTTGCTGG